TTTGGCACCAAAAGATCTATAAATGTTTTGTACCACTCAATAGGGAATCCATCTAATCCTGCTGTTTTACCACTTGCCATTTTTAAAATTACTTGTTTAAACTCTAGCTCAGATAGTGGAGCGAGTAAGAGTTGTTTTTGTCTATTATCTAAATGTGGTAGGTTAATTTGTTTGATACATCCTCTGGTTTACTATATAATTCTGAATAAATTTTTTAAAAATGACAATATCCATTGAAGTTTTATAATTTCATCTCTTTCACCTCTAACGATTAGAATCATTGCTGTCTGTGTGTGTGTGTGTGTGTGTGTGTGTGTGTATATAAATATATTTTTTGCTTTAAGCGATTAGCCCAGATCTTACCAGGTCTTTCACCATTCTCCCAGTATCTCTGTCATAAACATGTTAGCATAAATTCTGCTGCTGTGGTATTATAGTAGTTAATTCATATTTCTTCTTCTGTATTTCTCTGTACAAAACTGTAGATGTGCCTGTAAATGTTTCACTTCGTCTTTCAAATCATTTTCCCTTTTATTTTTAATCTTATTTTTGTGTGGTGCATAAATACATTCTACCTCGAATGTATGCTTTGTATGCTTCCCATTCAAAAATTTGGGCACTTGATGTTTTGTAAGGTCTCTATCCGCATTTGTTGTACAAATTCTTTATCATTCGATAAGGAAATATTAAGATACCAATTTTTTGATACCTTAACCATTTCTGAAACACACATTTCAAGGTGGTTGCCCTATGATCACATTCATAACAAACATCAATGTTATATTCTTGAATTTGATGATATAAAGTCAACAATATTAAAAAATAATCAAGCCTAAAAAAATTCTGATACACATTTGAATAAAATATATATTCTCTTTTAGTTGGATACATCAAATGTCATGAGTCTACTAAATTCAATTCTTCCATATAAGTCTTAATTGTTTCTCTCACAACAATTAGTTTTGTTTTTTTCCATGCCAGTGTATTTCTCTCAAACTCAGGATCCAATGCTTCATTAAAATCTCCTCCTATTATCAATTTATCATAAATACACTTATTCAAGTGTTGAAAACATTCATAAAACGTAGTAGAAGAATCTAAATTTGTCCATAAACATTAACAACTGCTATTGCAGTCTCTGCCATTTTGGCATACAAAATTAAATAATGCCCATTTACATCAGTGATAACTTGTTGTACATTAATTGGGAATCCTTTTCGAACCAGAATGGCCACTCCTTTAGCTTTTGTTGAAGTATCTATGCGGTAAATCTGTCCACCCAATCTTTCATTAATAGAGATTTATCCTGTTCCATTAGATGAGTCTCTTGTAAATAAACAATATCTGCCCTTAACAATTTTAAATTTGCTAAAATTACATTTTGTTTTTTGGATTCTCGTAACCCCACGTTTTTTTTTTCTTTAATGAAAATTTTGCTACTCTTCAAATGGAAACTTGGTTATCCTTAGCAGTTAGTCCCCAAAGCATTTTGGGAGATTGAAGTGATATGCATGCTGGTGTGAACCAGTCTACAAGTATCTCAGCTTTTGTAAGTATGAGACATGCCCATTATCTTCCCTTACACTTCCTTTTACTAGAAAAAAATGAACAATGTATAATTATGGATTTTCTTCTCCATTAATTGCCAGTTTATATGCACTTACTTTCATCAGGTACAGATGAAAAATTAAAGTTTTAAAAACTTTTATTTTCAAGATCTGTATTAAGAAATAGGTCTAATGGTACACGGGAATGACCTTGGGAGACAGGAGGAAGAGCCGTAGCCTAGACAAAGGTCTGATAAATGGAATTGGATCCAAAGGAGGAGGGAGGCAAAAATGTCTCAGAAGGGACCCTCCCTAGTTTTTGAGAGAGTAAAAATGAAAGAAGGAGGGGTACTTTCAGATTTGCAAGACTCTGTTAATGTAACCTTACAATAAAGATAGAGCAAGTACTCCTGGTTGTATTTCTTGTCTGGACTACCTTGCAAGGCTAATAATAGCTAAGCATGACTAACATGACTAGTTTTATTTTTATGAACAAAGAAAATACATATGCATTTTTATTACTGTGCTAAAACAGGTAGTTTTACCCCATGATCAATAAAAAGCAACCACATTCTTAGATATTTTGACCACTGTAGTTACATTTTTTTAAAAAGCCATTTTATCATCAAAGAGTGAAACAAAAGTGAGAAATTGTCTGAAAGCTGCAGTTTTAATTGCTACCAAACTGCAGTTTTAATTACTACCACTTACCAATTACTGCCTGCGTCTAGTGCTCACTTACTTAGGAATAAGTATTACTGAACATACCCGAGTTTTGACCCAAATAGATCTTCATGGAATTGAACTACAGATTATACTGAAATTAGTTTTCCTGTTGAAGATTTTCCTCATCATCATAGCAATGCTTTTGCATAATTGAATGCCTGCTATTACAGAAAAAGCTAGAGTCATTAAAAAACAAAGTGGTTTAAGAGGCTTGGGCCATTTAAATAGATTCAGTGAAATCTTGTACCATCTGCAATATATTGCACTTATGATTTTTAATTTTTAAAAAGAAACGTGCATTTACAAATATTCACAATCTCTGCTTCTAAGATTAGGGCTATTTTCGATGGCATTTTCTTTCAGTAGCTTTCTTAATTATTTGGAGTCCACAAGATTGCTCACTGACAGTGGTTGAACTTCTAGATTTTCTAGATCCTTTTTCTTATTCTCCACTCATTCAATACCTTAATTACTACACCCCACAGGCTTTCTTTTTTAAAAAAATTCTATTCCTTCATTTAAGGCTAACTGTTCTTACATCTAGCTCTTTAGTTTATTAGGGGTTATGAAGAAATTAATTACAGCTTTTCTTAAAAATTGCTTTGTAAATCACGTATTTTGATTTCTGGTGCTAATTTGATGGAATTCAAGATTTTAAAAAAATAAATATTATTATAGAGAATGGCTTAAAGGTAAATTTATGTGCCAACTTCATTTGTGTTCCTTCTTAATGCAGAACAGTTGCTTCTTACATATGATTTAATTGAAACAGATTTGGTTAAAAATACAATAAACAAATTCAGACCTGCCTTCTCAATAGACTAAGAGAGGTACATGTGGAATGTGGTGGATTCTGCTGTGATCTCATTGAGATTTTTTTTCCCCCTCTATAAATTATCAAAATAATTTCACAAATATAAATGTCATGGATATTTGTTGTCCCATATTAATCAATCACTCTACTGATAATACTTAATCTCTGCTATTAATCTGTTATTCTACCAGTTATTATTCTACTGATTATACTTATTAAAATTACTAAAATAATTAGTAACAATACATATAATGTTAGAATACATTTTATTATATATTGTTATTTATATAACAATGTATATATTAAATCATAATAATAATCATAATAATAATCATAATAAGGCAGTTAGTAGTTGCCGTTCTTCATATTCGTAATCATAAACATTCTTCTAAAAGTGTTACAAGAGATGAAGGAACTTGCTTTTATGAATAAAAATGGGTGATTTGGGCTACCATAACCTAAATCTCTGCCTAGGTACTAAGACAAAGGCAATTGGTCTGATTGGAGGGAGACACTATTCCAGTCTGCATTAACAGCAGGATATTCAGCAGTGTTTGTTCATCTGGCATTGTTGTTTTATCCATAGACATTGATGAATGTGCTGAAGGGAGACATTACTGTCGGGAGAATACCATGTGTGTCAACACACCAGGATCATTTATGTGTGTCTGCAAAACAGGTTACATCAGAATTGATGACTACTCTTGTACAGGTAAGTGTTAACAGAAGCAGCTGTCCAACATTTCATTTTTTGGGAAAGATTGTTTGTTTTATAGATCATTAGCCTATAAATGTAATTAAAAAATGCAAAAGCTGATACTCTCTTTTCTTCCATACAGTGAGAGACATATGATTTAAATTTTACATTCACCAGAATTTTTTATGACATCAGTCTTGGTTAATTCTAATGTGTTCTTATGTATTCCTCTGGCTTAAAGGGAAAGGCTTGAATTTTGCACTAACATAGAATATGTATGAATAAATGTAATGTAAGGACAGAAATGTAAGGAGAGAATCCCCCTCCTTCCTTCCTTCCAAAATTTTAAGCTCTTTTTTTCCCACTTTATAGTGTGGGAGGTTGGGAAAGTTAGTCAGAATAAATTGCTTAAGCTGCCAGGCAATAAACATAAGCCTCTTTCTGTAAAAAAATCAACAAAAACCAAATAGTTGAAAACAGGCGGTTTGCTTCACATTTTAATTTTTCACTTCTGAGGAGCTCCAAAACCCCCAAAATGGGTTAAGGAAATAATATCTGGTCTACAAGCATGGCCTTATTCCTGATATAAGATAAATATGTCCTCTGTTATAGTTTTATCATAGGGCCTAGTTTTTGGTCTACACTTAGCTAGCTTGGTAAGTTTAGACACTGCTAGAATAGTCTGTTCCTACAGGCTCTCAGATTGTTTCCATGCCTGAATCTGGCGGAAAAAAATTGATGTAAAAATGCAGGGTAATGGGCAAGCAATATAGAGTTGAGTAGTTTTTTAATCAGCTTTCTTCGTGTACTGCCATTCCATTAAAAACAAATGTTAAACTTACAGAATTCTGTGTTCTCAAGTGCTGTATATAAATTATGTTTATTAAAGGAAAGTATTGGATAGATAATGACTTGCATTTCAGATGACAGATATTCTTTTGAATTATAAAGTAAGTTGCATTAATAACTTAATCAACATGCTCAGTTGCAGTTCCCAGGTATGCAATCTTTTCCAGTGTCATAACCCATGATACAAGCACATCTTGGTCAACTTTTTTTTTTCTTCTTTGTCCCCGTGATGTTGCTTTCATTTTGCCTCCAGCCATGAATGAGATAGACTTAAATTAACTTAAGTTGTACTATCCTTGAAGTAGTGTTTTCCCTCTTCCACCATCCAAGGACAGCCTCAAGATGTACACAATCTGTTACTGATTCATACTGATCCTCTTGGATATAAATCAGATATCTGCAGTGACATGAAGCAGAGAATGTTGATTAGAGAGCCAGTATCAAAGTCTAAATCTACTGTGGCTGATTTTTGATACTTGAAAAGTCAGATATGCATTGTATGGGGAAGGGCCGGGTCAAATGGGAAAATTTGTGTCATGACACTGCAACCGTACCCCTTTTGAATGTGCATCATGACACTGCACATAAAAATGTGAAAAACAAAGTTTGCTTTGTTATGTTGCAGGTTTCATTGTTTTGGTGAAATTTCTGTGGACATCAAAGAAGCCAGATGATGTATTTTTTTTATATTATCTATATTTTGCAAGTTGGTTTGTACTGTAGTTAATTTTATCTTATTTGTCAATAGGTTCCTTGGTCACCATTGTGTGGAAATGACCATGATACAAATAATGAATGCATAGTAAATTAGGTCAATTTTTTTTTTTTTTGAAACAAAGATGGATTCAGTGCAGAGAGTTAGATTCAGCAGCAGTGGCAGACTGACAGTAATTTCTGGTTTACTGTTTTTCATACAAGAACAGCAATAGAACTTTCCGATTCTAAATCATCACTGGAATGAAGAAAGCAAGTGCCCAGCAGTTTATTTTCTTACATGGAAAATTTGAGTTCTGTTGAGTCCAAATATCCAGACTAAATCTTGGGCTCTAGCAGTTGGTATTATGAGACCCTGGCACCCAGTTGTTGGATCTCAGATTCCAGAAAAGAATAAAAATAAAAGTGTACAGGACTGCAGTCTGCCCATCCTGACTTTATAACTTTCAGACAAAAAGGTCTCAAGTCCCTCCACTTCAGCATTTAAATGTATATATGCTCATCCTTCTGATTTGGCTGGACAGACATGATGAGGATAGGAGGAAGGTTAGAAAGAAATGCAACCTGCTATTTTCAATTTGATACAGTGGCTTGCATCTAATTATGATAACTGCTGATGGAAGATGTCTGCAAATGATTTTAATTTTTCCTGGCCCCCTTAACTATTCCAACTGTTTTCCAAAAAAATCAGAAGTCTGGTAGCACCTTTTCTGACTATCAAATTTAATTAAAAGGCATAAGCTTTCATGATTTTCTAGGCATACAGTAAGCTTTCTTGTAACATATGAAAGTTTGTTTCTTTTAATAACATTTGTTAGTCAGAAAAAGATGCTACCAGACTCCTCCTCATTCTTTGCCATGAGAGATAACATGGTTTTCCTCCTATAATGTTTTCTAGAGAGAGCCTCTATATAAGATTGTAGGTACATAAGAGTTTGCAACAGGGGAAAATAATACAACACTGAAAGTATTAGTTTGTTGGAAATTGTTCAAAGTTCCCTAAGTCTAGAAGTGTATTCTGAATTCCAGATTATTTTCTACTAATATGTGCTATAAGTCTTGGGTAACACAAAACAATAAAACTGTTAGTTGTAAGGAGATTATCTTATGAGAAAAAAAAGGAAGTTATTATAGGGCAATTTGCTTAATGAGGACTGTGTGCATTTGCAAATATAGCAATCCACATTTATTGTGATTATGAGGAAACTTAATTTCACTTAAAAGTGTCTTTGACCTTAAGTCTTGAACTTTAAAGTGACATTTGCAGAAATCTTTCTTTAAAAATGTAGAGCAGTTTAAGCTTATTAAAGTGATTGTTGGCAAACTCAATGCACAATTCTTCATAGAAAAAATGAATTATAATGACAAGGTGGCCTTGCAAGCCAGTTCTCTGCTTGTTGCAGTGCTGCAAGGTTACAAGAAAATCAACGAAAGTCAACATGCAATATTTATGAAATTCTAATATGCAGGCTCCATTAAATCTTAAAGAGCCAGTAAAAATTAAAAAAAACTTTCAGAGTTTCTTTTTTCTTTCACTTTTGTAATAACAATAATAATAATTGTAATATAATAATAGTAATAGTGATAATAATAATAATGCATGCTGTCTCATTTCATTTTCCTTTCCAATTCTAAATACAACTGAGAACAGCTGTTTACCTAGCTATCCAATTATAAAATGACCTGTTTCTTTTTTGTCTCCTTAACATACCTACTCTCTTTCACTATTAATCAAGCTGTTCTGAAATCCAGATGGTTTCTTGTTCACTGCCAGCACAAGTGTTAATGCAAACTAAGGATTCTGTCCACTATTTCCTAAATAACAGAACATCCTATAATTCTGAACACAATAGGGAAGGTCTGGAAACCACAGAAACAGCTTTCCTTCAGTGAGTGAGAAGAAGTAAGATGGATCACTGTACTATTAATTGTAGAGAAGGAGAAGGAAAAGGATAAATGCTGCATTTACCCTTGCTTTGCAAATATGGATATTTATCTTGCTGTTGCACTGCATGGCAAATGGAATGATACACTGATGCATGTAGAATCTTTTGGACAAGGCTAAGCAAGGAACAATAACTATGCAGATATAGGTCAAAAATTGACTGCAACTTTTATTGGCTATAGTTTATATAGTTCTGGTGTGGCATAAGGCAAGGTTCTTAAGCCAGGGGCCAACTTGCCACTTCAGGCTTCGTGCTGTATAACCACTGGTCATCGATGCATTAGTGTTCTGCCTATCAAAAGTGGGTTATTACTGTAAAACTTTCAAGAGGGGAAAAAATCAGCATTGCAACTTGATCAAGGACAGCTCTCTGTAGCCATTGACTGATGCACAGCCAATCCAACTGCCATCTGGCTGCTTTTCTAGAGAGTCATTATAAATGCATAGTCAGACTTATAAGACACAGAAGATAAACACTGTTTACAATTTTTAATGATATGCATTGAGCAAATTGTTTTAGAACTGGTACTGTTAGAATGTTGATCAGAAAGAGATAATATTTTTAGGTGATTTTAATATTCAGAAGAGTTCAGAAATCTGAACCCTTTGAGAGTCTGTTGAGCAATTATCTTCAGGATGAATACCTTGATTCAACAGTTACCAGATACGGCATTATGGAGACTGGTAAACAATGATTCACCTGTCTCCTCTATCTGTACACCAATATACAGTACATTGTACAGATCACAAACAGAATGAAACAGAAATCCTAATGTGGAAAAGCAAATATTATCTGATTCATGGAAACCTAATAAGATGACTGGATAGATAGAGAGCACCATTATGTACATGTATCGTCGCTGCCTTTCAAGCTACCAAGTATCCATTAATTTAGAAAGGCAGAAAGAAGAAGCCTAGAGTTTAAGCTTTAGAACATATATAATTTCCTGACTTCTAACTCAGGTAGGTGCGGGACACCGCTGTTGTTGACAGTTTTAGTTTTTCAGAGAGTAGAAGAGGAAATAAAAGGCTCAACTGTCCTAGATGTAATCCTGACCAACAGAGATAAATTAATTGATGGATTGAAAGTGTTGGGAATCTTGGGGAAAATTATCACAACTTGTTGGAGTTCAAGATAACTAGGGACAGACAGCTAAGAGAAGTCTGTTAGGTAGGCAGCGTGTTATAACTGAAAAAGCTAAAAGATATGAAGAAATGTGAAGTCCTGAAAAACTGAATACAGAAATCACAGGTTTGAATAAGAAGAAAAAATGGGGAAGCATATAGAGACATCTGTGAATGAACAGTGAGCACACAGATAAGCTGAGATGCAAAAGGAGATATGCAGGAAATGGAAACGGGCTAATAACTAAGGAAGAGAAAAAACTGGTGCACTGAATCTGAAGAAGTGGAGTTATGAAGGCTAAAGTTCAGAATGAGGTGAGCCTTGGAGTGAGTATAAAAGATACGAAGAAAGTTTGGGAGGTATGTATGAAAGAAAAGAATA